TTTAAGTCTTTGATTCACTTTGAGTAAGTTTTTGCACATGGTGGTATGAGGCCCCCACCTCATTCTTCTGCAGGCAGGTGTCAGTTGCCCCAGAGCCATGTGATGAAAAGTCTCTTTTTTTCTCCAGAATTGTCTAGGTCCCTGGGTAATTCCTGCATCTGTGTTGTTTTCCTTACCTTTCCTGGAATTGCTCTTGACCTGAAGCTGTGTTTCCTGGCCTGTGGAACTCCACCCTCTGTTGTGAAGCCTGGAAGTTTTCTGGCTGCTCTTGGGACCCTCTGCATTTTTCTGGGGCTCTTTGCCCCTGATGCTCTCACATCTGAATCTTTGTCTTACACCTTCTGGTCACCACAGCTGCTTTCAAGTCCTTCTTTGGTCTCCTGCATCCAGCAAGACCGCCCGGTCATCTTTGGCACCTTCTAGGCCACAGTGTTGGAGTTTGCTCTGAGCTTAGAGCTGAGTGACACAGAGTTCCCACCTGCTCCCCTCTCTTGGGGACCACAGCCTGCATTCTCTGTGTCCAGGGTCTAAAAACAACTGCTTTGCAGTTCTGACTGACTTTCCTTTGCTTGTGGTGGGAATATGGATCTATGCCCTGTCTCTTTCTCGTACCCTGGTAGCTCTCATCCCACGGTCATTCTGGGCTGGACTGCTGCAAACTATCACAGTATCTTTCCAGCTTTCTATATTTGCCTCCCTCAAATCTATCCTCACTACAGCCATTGGGGATGACCCCTAAATTCATGTCACATCCTGACCTGTTAGAACCCTCTAAGGTGTCACCATTTCACTCAGAGAAAAAGCCAAAGTCCTTACAGTGCCCACAACCCGCAGCCCACCATAGTCAGTCCTTCCCTGTCTCTGACCTAGTTTTTGGCCAGCCTTCCTCCATATCATCCACTCTAGTCACCCTGCCCTGCATTCTACTCCTGGCACATGCCAGGCACCCTGTCCCTGCTAGGACTGCTCTCTCTTCCTCCTATCTGGACTGTTCCCCCACCCAGTGTATTCATGCCACATTTCCTCCACTATCTTATATTTTCTATTCAAATGTCACCTTGCTGAGGCTGACTTGGGCCATTCCATGTAAAACACAGACACCTTCCTGGCCTTGTAAACACTGTCTGTCTTATTCCCCTTACTTTTTCCCTGTAGCACTTATCAGCTTTAAAAATAATACACAATTAAACAAAAAAAGAATTGAGATGCATTACGTACACATACCAACCACCCATGAGGAATGTAATCATTGTGTACTGAAAACATGTACAAATAAAGAAAAAAAGATTAAAAAAAAGAAAATATTTTTAAACCAATTGTAGGATTATACTCTCAATGAACATAATAGAAGCCATTGAACTTTAAAAAATAATATATAATTAAATGAATGAGTGATCGATCCGGAGACAAACTGCACAATAAATTGAACAGAGATAGTTTGTATAGTGAACAATGAACAATGTAAGTGCAATGAATAGTTCAGGCTTGCAGGAGACCAAATAGGGAAGAAATAAATGGGGTGGGGGGAACCCATCCACGTGGCTGGTTTTGAACCTGGAGGGAGAAAGTGTGGTTGCAGCACAGGAATGGAGGAGGCTTCTGCTGGATTGCCAGGGGCCAGAACTGGTCATGGTCAGGACAGAGGGGACCAGGTAGAGAAAAAAAGGCTGGGCCAGGCAAGCAGGAAATGTCTCTTCCCTCCCAGGGCCAATTCGATAAGGAGCCATCCATGGGGGCCCACTGAGTTCAGTGTGAATGAGCGCCCCAGAGGCCCCCTGCTTATGCTCTTACCATCGTACCTTAGGAGAAAGAAAAGAAAGAAATGGAAGCATTCTGGAGCCAGGAGGAAAGCCCCTCTTCCTAATCCTCTACTAACAAGGCTTATTATCATTTCAAGTGCAGAAGAGGAGTGAATGCTTACTGTATCTGCTCCATTATCACTGAGCCGGCAATGAAGGGTGTTTCCAGAGCTGGAAGGAAGATACTGATCTCCGCACCATCATTCTCTCATTAATTTTGTTCATTTCCCCCTTATCCTTAGAAAGTGACATCCAGGAGAGCAGTGCTTTTGTTTTGTTTTCTTGCTTGATGCATATCTTGTACCGAGAGGAATACTAGGCATGTAGAATGTGTGCAGAAACCATTGAACACACGAATAGATTCACTTTACTCCCTTAAATCCCCACATATTGTACCATCTCATGGAAATATGGACTTTTGTTGAGCCATGACTCTTTTAATGGACATTGGAGGTATTTCTAAGATTTGTAAGGAAAGCAAAGTTATCATTCAACATACTTTTTTACATACATGTGAGACTTCCCTCTTGGAAGGAAACTTCCAGGTGAAGTTGCTCAATCAAAGGTCACATGCATTTGAAAATATATGAGTGCTCATTATGATTTTTAAATTCAACTGTTTATTTTAAGATAATTATGGATTCACATGCAATTGCAGGAAATAATACAAGAATATTTCATGTACTCTTTACCTTATTTTCCCTGCTGATATCTTTCAAAACTATAGGAGAATATTGCAACTAGAAAATTGACATCAATCCCATCAAAATACAAACAATTAACATGGATCCTCATGTGTCTCTAAGAGCTGCATCCCTTCCTCCTATCTACCCCTGTAGCCCTGGAAACTGCTGATCTTTGCTTCATGACTGTAATTTGGTGATTTTAAGCGTGTTAGAGAGTTATAGAGTGAATAAAATTGTAGGACCCATCTCTCCATTGCATAATTCTCTAGAGATTTACCCAAGTTGTTGCATTTGTTATAATTGATTACTGTCTATTGCTCAATGGTGTTCCACTGTAGGAATGGACCACGGTTTGTGTAACCTTTCACCTGATGAAGGACCTCTCTTTTACTAGGGTGGCCTTCTTACATATAACCCACTGAAATATTTAGGTATGGGTTTTCCGTGAACATTCACTTTTCACTTTTGGAAATAAATGTGCCAGGGTGCAATTGCTGAGTTGTATGACTGTTAGATGTTCACTTTTTTTTTATGCCCACCCAGTCATTTTTGGAGAACATACACATTTTAATTTCCATCAGCCATATACAACTCATTCAGTTTCCACGCATCCTCACCAGACCTTTGTGTAACCACTATGTTTTTATTTTGGATAGGTGTTTACTGACGTATCCTTCAGGTTTTTATGTGCCTGTCTATTGACTCATGACTATTGATGCTGAGCATCTTTTGATGTGTTTATTTTCCTCATTATATATTCTTTGGTGAAGTGACCCTTTGTATATTGTCTAATTCTCTTTTAGCTGTTGAGTTTTGATAGTACATTATAAAGTCTAAAAACTAGTATTTTGTCATTTGGTTTGCAAATTATCTTCCCCCATTTCATTAGTCTGACTTTTCATTCTCTTAATAGAGTTGAGCAAGTTTCTATTTTGATGAAGACCCTTTTATCTATTTTTCCTTTCATTAATCATACTTTTGTTGACAAATCTAAAATCTTCTGATATAGTTTCATATCCTGAAGATTTTCTCCATTTTTTACGTTCAAGGCTAAAATCTTTTTTGAGTTAATTTTTGAATGTTGTATATTTATCTTGCATTCTGCAACCTTGCTGAACTCAGGAGTTTGTTTTTAGTTTGTTAGTTTGTTTTTGGTTTCATTTTATTATGTTTTATTTTTTTGATTCCCTGAGAGATTTTTATATAGCTACCATGTCATATGCAAAAAGAGACAATTTTATTTTTTCTAATTTTTATGTCATTTATTTTTCTTTCTTTATTTTTTTCATCCATATTGTACTGGCTAGAGCTTTTTGTAGCATGTTAAATACAAGTTGTGCCAGTGAACATCTTTGTCTTATCTCTGATATTACAATGAAAGCATTCAGTCGGTCACCATTAGGAATAATGTTACCTGTAAATATTGGTAAATGCTTTTTATCAAGTAGAAAGTTTCTATTATTTTTTCCAGAGAGTTATTGTCAATGGGCATTGAATTCTGTCAAGTGCTTTTCTGTCAGTTGATGTGATTGTGTGATTTTTTTCTTCTTAATGTATAAATATGGTTGATTTAAAAAATAATAAACCAGCTTTCCATCCCTGGAATAAATTCCTTCTGGTCATGGTATAATAAGAATTTTTGCATCTATATTCATGAGTGATATTGTTCTGTGGCCTTCTTTTTTATGTATTGTCTTCCTGTTTTGGCTGGGAATCCCCCCCCTGCTCCTGCCATTTTCCAGAGAAGATCATATAGAGTTGTTATTTCTTTATTAATTGCTTAATAGAGCTTTCAAGTGAAACTATGTGGATGTAGAGAATTCTTTTGCAAAGAACTTTTTAAATTAAAAATTTAAGTTCCTTAACCACAGGGCTATTAAAGTTATCTATTTTATTTTATCTGTAATACTGAAGATGGAACCTAGAACCTTCATACTGAGCTACATTTACAGTTTAAAAAATGATTTAAAAAAAGTTTTAGACAGGGCCTGCCTCACTAAGTCACTAAATTGCCCACGCTGGGCTTGAACTTCCCACCCTCCCAGAGGCTGTGGGATCATCAGAGCTTGAGGAGAGCAGCTTCCCTAGAACCTGGCTCAGGCCAGCCATGGTGGGCTGAAGATGGGATGGGAGGGTGTGTGAGGAAGTCAGAAGTCCCTACCTGGCTTGCAGCTCAGACATGTTTTCCCACCTTGAGCACCCAACTGGTATGTCCCCTGTAGATGGGCTGGTCTGTGAGCAGGACTCTTCAGTGGTGGGAACATTGGGTGGCATTATGGGCTTTTATTTCTAGGTGGCACTCAAATATTATTCATCATGTCCCAAAAATAGCAACAGTTCATCCCCATGGTGGGTGTGGATTTGGCCATGAGGGATGTGTGGGAGGGTTGTGGTCCGTGCCAAGTATATATGGACTCTAGCCTCCGGGGACATAAAGAGTATCCTGTGAGAAGCCAGCCCAACTTCGTCCAGATACCCAGTGGACCTGCCTTAGCTGTGAGCACAGAGTCTGGAGATGAAGACCCCACAGCTGGCCATCTTGTTGCTTGGTCTGGAGGCTACACTAGAGGCCCAGGATCCCTTGTTCTTCCACCCAGAGCAGAGGAATGTGAGGCTCAGTGGGGCAGTGTGCAGGGGTAGGAGAAAGGCTGTGATCACTGGCATTAGATAACCGTGGAAGCCCTCTTTCAGGAAGTGTCTTTTAGGGCTGGGTGCAGGCCCTTTTCTCCTGGACTGGAGTGGTTGGTTTGGGGGGTTCTTTGGTTTGCCAGCAGACATGGCCCACCTAAGGAGCAGTCCAGGGTGGGGGAGCAGACTTGGGTCAGGGGTCCTGTGAAAGTGATATTCTGATCCAAAATCCAGTAAGGATTCCAGCCCTCTGGGGTAAGGACTCACCCAGGCCTGGGACCCCATCCTTGAGCAGAGTGGATCCTTAGGAGTCTGGAGGCCCTGAGTGCTTGGGTGTGATCTACTGAGCAGGGGTGGGAACATGCAGGAGCCCAGCCCTTCTCTGGAGGCTGCAGCCTGGGTGCTGAGAGAGTCTGTTTAGGCTGCAGGCCTTTGTGCCAGGTTGTGGGAGAGAAGCTGGCCTGGGTCATGCTGGGCTCATGGCTCAGCCTGCTCCAGTTCACAGGGACCTGGTATATGAAGGCTGCAGTGGCCAAGAAGACCCCGCCAGAAAGGAAGAAGCCCTGGAAAATGTCTCCCATGACAGTGACAGCCCTGGAAGATGGCAAGTGGGAGGCCAAGATCACCTTCATGTGAGTGTTGCCCAATGTGGGTCCCCTCTACTGGTTTGCTTCCTCCCTTATCTACATTTGAATGTTTGTGGCAAAAAGCCCCAGGCAGCATCTTAACACTCAGGCAGGGTTGAGGTGGGATATTTGGGGTTACTTGGTCAGTAACTATGCTCGGGTGAGCTGAGCTGGGCTCGGCCGAGTCCTGAGAGCAGCTGCCTGTGTGCCTCCTTATTTTTTTTTTTTCAGGAAGAAGGGTCAGTGCCATGAAAAGAAAATTATGATGCAGAAAACTGAGGAACCTGGCAAATATAGTGCACGTGAGTCCTGCCCAGCTGTGCCCTGAGCCTGGCCCGAGTCGTGATAGCTCCCAGCATGGAAGGCCCTATCCCCCTGCCCTGTCCTCTCCCATCCTGAAGGACTTGTGTCCCTGACATCAGACACCAGGCCTTGTTCACAGCAGGGTCCAGCCAGGCCACACCTCCTCCACAGTGGTCCCAGCTTTTGATCCATGGGGAAACCAAGGGTTATAGATGGAGGAAACAGGGCAAGGCAGCTGCTTGGGCCTGGGGCAGAGCTCTCACCTCAAAATCCCTGGCATATTGGAAGGGGCTTCTGCCCAGTGATGGAGACCTAATGGCCTCGGCTCAGGCTGGTTGGGTCTTTTGGGAGAGCACTGAAATGTTCCACATTGTTTCTCAATGCAGTGTCTTTAATATCTTACCAAGAATGAAGACACTAAAGAGCTATTTTCTGTTCACAGTTCAGGGCAAGAAGCTCATATATGTAGAGCAGCTGCCCGTGAAGGACCACTACATCTTCTATTGTGAAGACCAGCGCTTCAGGAAAACTTTTGCCATGGGAAAGCTCATGGGTGAGGCCCTTGGACACCTGTCTCCTGACCTACAGTCTCCACTTTCAGAAGCTGGTGGAATCGGCAACAGCAACATCCTGGAACCAGGGGACTGAGAACCCTCCTGTGCGGGATTCGGGGTGCTGGTCACAGGATGCTGCCCAGACCGGATTCAAGCCCTTATCTGGGACAGGGGTTCACCAGGTGGGGACTGTTGGGGACAGGGTCAGACTTGGTACTGATAGACCTGGTTGGTCAGGAGCAGGTTCCTGCCCCTGAAACTGGCAAATGCAACTTCCTTGGATCTCTGTCATCTTCCTGGGTCAGCTTGAAGGGGGAGTGTCAGGGACACTTTGGGGAGCACAGCCTAGTGCTTCTGGGAGGTGAAGCACTTCCAGGTCGGGGACGTGATCTAGCAGGTCTGCCTGGGGGTCACTCAGGTCCTCAGGGTCCCTCAGTGCCTCAGCGTATGTCTACCCTGTAGCTCCTAATCTAGTTTTAGGTTTCCCTTTTCCTTTTGGCCTGGCCACTCTGGGGGTAAAGCCGTGGTGCTGGGCCCTGGCTGTGTCCTAGGGCTATCAGCTCCCCACAGAGCCGTGTAGCCATCTCCCCTCTGCTCACCTGACCCCTCTCCCATAGGGAGGACCCCTGAGGAAAACCCAGAGGCTCTGGAAGAATTTAAGAAATTCATGAAGCGCGAGGGACTCCCACAAGACAACATCGTCATCCCAGAGCAGAAGGGTGAGGAGCTGGCTCTGCCTGCAGCTTCTCCAATGTCATCTCTGTCCCTAGTATCCCTTCTGTGTCTTCCAAGTCTCCCCATGTCCCCTGTGTTCTCCCATCTCCCCGTGTCTCTCTGCTTCCCTCAAGTTTCTTTGTGTCCCTCCATTTTCCCCTGTCTTCTCCCAGGGACACCAGAACCCTGCTTTGGGTCTTGGTCATGAGATAGGTGAGCGCTGGGTATGATGGGGTCTGGCCCTTGTTCAGGACACCTTCTCACAGTTGGGTTTTTCTTGGTTTCTACAGAAAGCTGTGTCCCTGAGATTAACTAAGGTAAGTGACACCCTGGGAGGAAAAGCCCAGAGTCCTGGGTTCTGGAGTTTGAGGTCCAATGCTCTTGCCTCCTCCCATCTGCTCTTGGACCAGGAAGAAATGGTCACCTCAGGAATTGGCCTTGGGTGTCATTCTCAGGGCATTTATTAAGACCCTTTCTTACAAAAGTCATCTCTGCACCATCGCCCTCCCTCTCCGGGTCTCCACTCAGCTCCATTTCCTACCCTATAGGCCCACCCAGAGTCAGGGTATCCCTGAGGAGCCAGGGTTACTCTTGGAGCCCAAAGCTGCTCAGAAGCCATTGCAGGCAGCCTGGTGAAGGAAAGTCTCTGAAGGGCATTGGTCCTGACCCCTGCAAGCCTGCCTACCTCCTGCTTCCTCAGAGGGGGCCTTGACCTCGGTTTCTCTTCCCAACACAGCAGCCACCTGGATCTTTACCTCCTGGGCTCACTCTCCTCCCTGGACCAGCCCTCTTGCCTGGACATCCTTCTTAGCTGGGCCATCCCTCCTACCGCAGTCCTTCATCTACCTCCCCAACCCTGCATGACTCCAAATAAAGAGCTTCGGTTTCCTGTCTGGGATCTGTATGCATGTGGGCATTGGGTTGGGTCCTCAAGAGCTCTGTTAGGAGGAGGAGCTGCTGGGGAAGTTGGGGAGATGCTGGACCCAGAAGCTGCCAGGCCTCAAAGAGTAGGGCATTGGACAGGCATGTGGGGCCACATGAAGCGCTGGAGGTCCACCTGATGAGCTAATGCTGTGAGTGGCTTTGTGCAAGGCTGAGCTCCTGCAGGGCAGGAGCATTTGGGGAGGCCACTGGGGAGGGGACTCATTTTGAGGAGCCTGGACTCAGTGTTAAGGCTGGGGTGGCATTACCAGCCCCTCCTTCCTAAGCCTTCAAGAAAGACAGAGCTGGCCACAGGCTCCCTGCAGTCTTGTTCACTTTCTGGCCCTCCCGTGGTTTGTCCAGGGAGCAAGGTGTGTGGTGACTTTGGCCTACAGGGACTCGGGGCCAGAGTGAGGAGAGAGAGAGAGACCTTGAATCCTGGATGTTAAAGACAACCCTAGAAACCACAAATCCCAGTGAGAAACAACTGCCTGAAGCCTTAGGCAGGAAGAGGAGAAAGTGTCCATCTTTCTCTGAGGAATCATTGATCGACAGCTCGGGGACCCTCATCCCAACTTCCACCTTGACCTGCAGTCCTGTCCCATGTGGACCTGGTTCGTGGTGCAGGCTCCTGGGAGGTCCTGAATTGGACATCCTGGATGGCAGTGGCAGCTTCAGTCTACTGTGACAGTGGGCATGGTGCATCTCCTGCTTTCCAGCCCCAGAGTAAAATGAGGGAAGGCTCAGATACCTCCATGTAAAAATATGAGAAAATAGGTAAAATATTTCACTGATCTCAGGGCAGAAAATGATTTTCAAAGCATCTGTACAATGAGGGAAAGCCTCAGCTGAAAATATAGATTTTTGTAAAAAAAATAGAGATTGAAAGATAAAAATGTAAAATATGGCATAGAAATCTTCAGTGGAGACTGTAGGCTGGAGATACCCGGGTGGGGAGCCTGGCTTGGGTATTCCTGATCCAGTGTCCCTCCATGTTTATTTATCTCCCCGTAGATGGCAGCACTTCCCTCTCCACAGCCAAACCTGGTCTGCTGATCAGCCCAGTATCCTGGCCACCTGCAACGGGTGATGTGTGGACAGAGCCAGGCCAGTCCCCTCTGGACCCTGGAATCTCAACCCGAGCTGGGAGCCATGAGCATGGCCCAGGTGGACGTGAACTCACCTGGCCCCTGATCAGTCTCTGTCCTGAGCCCCTGGAGCCTCCCCAGGGCCACCCATCCAGCTCTCTCCCTTCTCACCAGCTGCCCATCCCACACCCCAGATTCCCCCTGTGCTTATGGCAGACAGAGTCTAGATTTGTGTTGCTGCATGGAGATGCCAGTTGTTCCAGGGTTGTTGAAGCTTACATTTTAACAGAATGGGTGGGTCATTTAATTATTTAACAAGGAGCCCACATGACCTTGCAGGTTGTTGGTGATCCATAAAACAAATTGCAGAATGAATGGGTATTCCCAGAATCACCCAGAGGAGACAACCATTGTCCAAGGAAGCAAAGAAAATTGCCGGTTGACTCCCTGGCTACATTCGTCTAATGCGTCCATCAGTGAATCCTGTGTTATAGAATTGATATTTAGGGGCGTGAATTTCAACCATAGAAGGTTTGGCCCATAGTGAAGTCTGCGACCTCATCCGTCGGACTACATGGCTGTCTGTGTGCCTCAGTCCTCCAACCCTCGTATGGATTGTGGGGACCTCCTTGCCTCATTCTCAGCTGCTGGTTTCTCTCTCCCAGGATATCTTCTGGCTCCTTAGTTCTCACAAAAATCCAAGAGCGATATTCAGGCAAATTCATAGGTAGTGGAAATACTACAAATCAGCTGTGTTCCGGTAATTTGGGGGACAAATTTTAATCTAAAAGCCTGGACTTGGACTGAATTCTGGTCCATGGCCCTGTTAAAAAGTTCAGAGATAGGCAATGAGGGCCTGTATCATGCTGAAACTGGGTTCAGGTATTGTGTTATGCACATGTTTCTGTGGAAAGATTCCATAAGCATCATTTTATGCTTGGAGAGTCTACAGTCTTCCAAAAGGCCGAGATGGAAACATGAAAGTTTCAGATTAATGTAGTTGACAAAGGAGAAAATAAACCCAATTGATTCAATGGAACATAAGATCTTTCTGAGGGAACTAGGAATTTTGTTTTTCTAATGCTGAAAAGTTCTTCCGTGGGAGCAAACACACATGTGTTGGTGTCATATAAGGCGGAATTGCAAATAGGACCCAGGCCAGCCCTGGCCCTGCCAGCCGTGTGGCCTGGGCCTGAGTCTCTGCCTCTTTCGACCTGGTATTTTTCCATCAGTATCTTCCATAAGGGTGACCATGAAACATAAGTTTTTGAGACAGTGAGTATCAGGGTCTCCAGTTCATATTCCTCTGTTTACAGGCTGTTCTGGAAGGAACTTTGCTTTCAGGCAGAGAAATCTCTGTTGAGAAGTTGAAGGGGACCCAGTTGTATAGCAGTAGGTATTTTAAATACTATTCCACTGTATAGAGGGACCCCATTTTGTGTACCAATACTATTGTGACTATACACTGGGGCTCTTTCTGAAATGGAGAGAAAACCTGAATCAAACCTGTAGCTGCACTCATTGTTGGTGTCTTGCTTTTAGTTGATTTTAAAAATAAATTAGAGGTGTTATACAGCTGACTATATTATATCAGTCTCTCTCCAGCTTTGCTGCAGATCTCACTTCTAATGTGCAGGTCATAATGACAACAGCTGTCTAGGTTGTTTTTTGGGACTTGAAGGGTGCTTTGGTTGAAATCACTGGTTTTTCACCCGGAACTTTGGAAGAGTCCAGTTGCCATGGCCCGAGTGGCTCAAGGGTTCATGGAGTGAGAAATGATGGTGGGAGATTAAGAAAGACAGACAAAGATAACAATAAAGCTGGGCCCAGATGGAAACCCCTTCTCCTGATGGGATAAAGAGCTGGCTGGCTTCCGCAGCACCTTTATTTATAGAGTAGAGGTAAGGGAAGCGCTGGGGCAGGTAAAGGGGCTGGTCTGTAACCGGAGCCAGGAGAGCAGCCGAGGTCTGCAGGACCTCATGCTTGATGGTTCTCTGGAGAATGGGTGGGGAGGAAGACAGTCCTGTTCTCCCCAGGCCTTGCTCCACCGCACCCTCTGTCACCTGTTCTCCTTCCACGAGAGGAAGAGAACAAGATGTGTGTTTCTCATTTTACTCGGGGGCCTGTCTCATCCATGGGAGGAGGCAAGTTAGGCCTGGCCATAGTGATCTACAGCCTAGTGCTCCCAGCATCCAGTGGGCGAGCTTTTGATATCACGGGCCCATGAACTCCATCCCCATATCACCAATGCCAGCCGCCATTTTCTAAGCAAGACAAACAGTCATGAAAATTGAGTACGAGTGAATAGAACCGTGATGACTTTGGTTTTGCTCACCTCCGATCACCTTTCCCCTCACCATAAATCACCCTGAGACAGAAGAAGAAAGACAAGACATTCCCAAAGGGTGTTTTGCACTTTTTTATGTTTTGAAGTGCAGAGGCTCATGACCAGTGGCAGTGGTAGCCACGGGACCCCTCATGTAGGCCTTTTTGCTGTGCTGACAGCCACTGCCATGCTGGAGGATGGTGGTAGAGACAGCGTATGGGCCTGGATCAGTTTCCTGCTGCCTAGTATCCTGGATGCCTGCCACCTCCACTGCCAGATTTCTACTAGGATAAGGGGCTGTGGCAAAGGCAAGGATCTCCTGACTAAAGGCTACTGGCAGTATAGGATGGCTGCTCTGGCCACCACTACTAAGATTGTGGCCATCTCCATGTCTACCATTGCTACAGCACCTATGTCCCCCACTGCTGCTTCTGGGCTGACACAACAATCCTCACCATGTCTTGCTAAGCTGTATTAGTGACTGGCAACAACTTTCCTTGTTACTTAAAAGTTGATCGAATGCTACCACTTCTGCAGCCCCATAAAACCATGTTAAGATTTTCTTGCTTTGCCTTTTCTGACCTCTATATTGAGTTGTACAGAAGAGACCTTGGCTGAGCTGGTAGAAATAAGAGCTGTATTATGGCTGGGATCTAGATGTCCCCTCGAA